AGGGGCAATTTTGTCATTTGTCTCGACGGTGTCGGAATAGGCTTAAATTTCACTGGTTGATTGGAAATGGCCCGCAAAATTGGACTCGGGGCGTAATACCTAGATCTCGGGAAATTAACAATAAAAAACTGCACCAGGGGCAATTTTTCCATTTGTCGCGACGGTGATGGAATAGGCTGAAATTTTTTCGGGACGTTCAAATCAGCCTACCAAATTTCAGCCCATTCCGACACCAACGCGGCAAATGACAAAATTTCCCCTGGTGCAGTTTTCCTTTATTAATTTCCCGAGATCTCGGGACTCCGCCCCGAGTCCAATTTCTCGGGCCGTTTCCAATCAAGCTTCCAAATTTTAGCTCATTCCGACACTGTCGTGAAAAAAGGCAAAATTGTCCCTGGTGCGGTTTTTCTTTGTTAATTTCCCGAGATCTCGGGATTTCGCCCCGAGTCCAATTTCTCGGGCCATTTCCAATCAGCCTGTCAAATTTCAGCCCATTCCGACGCCATCGCAACAAATGATAAAATTACCCCTGGTGCGATTTTTCATCGTTAATTTCCCGAGATCTCGGGACTCCGACCTGAGTCAAATTTCTTGGACCATTTCCAATCAGCCTACCAAATTAAAGCCCATTCCGACACCATCGCGACAAATGACAAAATTGCCCCTGTGCGGTTTTTCTTTGTTAATTTCTCGAGATCTTGGGACTCCGCCCCGAGTCCAATTTCTCGGGAAATTTCGACCAGCCTGCCAAATTTCAGCCCATTCCGACACCGTCGCGAAAAATGACAAAATTGCCCCTGGTGCGATTTTTCTTTGTTAATTTCCCGAGATCTCCGAACTCCGCCCCGAGTCCAATTTCTCGGGCCTTTTCCAATTAGCTTTCCAAATTTAAGCCCATTCCGACACCGTCGCGACAAATGGCAAAATTGTCCCTGGTGCGATTTTTCTTTGTTCATTTCCCGAGATCTCGGGACTCCGCCCCGAGTCCAATTTCTCGGGCCGTTTCCAATCAGCTTACCAAATTTCGGCCCATTTCGACATCGTTGTGGCTAATGACAAAATTGCCCCTTGTGCGGTTTTTCTTCGTTAGTTTCCCGAGATCTCAGGACTCCTCCACGAGTCCAATTTCTCGCGCCGTTTCCAATAAACCTACCAAATCTCAGCCCATTCCGACACCGACGCGACAAATGAGAAAATTGCCCATGGTGTGGCTTTTCTTTGTTAATTTTCCGAGATCTTGGGATTCCACCTCGAGCCCAATTTTTCGGCTGGTTTCCAATCAGCCTGCAAAATTTCAGCCCATTCCGACACCGACGCAAAAAATGACAAAATTGCCCCTGGTGCGATTTTTCATTGATAATTTCCCGAGATCTCGGACTCTGCCCCGAGCCCAATTTCAGTCCATTCCGACACCGTCGCGACAAATGATAAAATTACCCCTGGTAAGATTTTCCTATTTTAATTTTCGGAGACCTCGGACCCCGCCCCGAGTCCAATTTCTCGGGCCGTTTCCAATCAACCTGTCAAATTTCAGCCCATTCCAATGCTATCGCGACAAATGTCAAAATTACCCCTGGTGCGATTTTACATTGTTAATTTCCCGAGTCCAATTTCTCGGACCATTTCCAATCAGCCTACCAAATTAAAGCCCATTCCGACACCATCGCAACAAATGACAAAATTGCACCTGGTACGATTTTTCTTTGTTAATTTCTCGAGATCTCGGGACTCCGCCCTAAGTCCAATTTCTCGGGCCATTTCCAATCAGCTCACCAAATTTAAGCCCACTCCGACACCGTCGCGACAAATGACAAAATTGCCCTATTGCGGTTTTTCTTTGTTAATTTCTCGAGATCTCGGGACTCCGCCCCGTGTCCAATTTTTCGGGCCGTTTTCGACCAACCTACCAAATTTCTGCCCATTCCGACACCGTCGCGAAAAATGACAAAATTGCCCCTGGTGCGATTTTTCATTGTTAATTTCCCGAGATCTCGGGACTCCGCCCCGAGTCCAATTTCTCGGGCCTTTTCCAATCTGCCTGCAAATTTCAGCCCATTCCGACACCGTCGCGACAAATGGCAAAATTGTCCCCGGTGCGGTTTTTCTTTGTTAATTTCCCGAGACTCAGGGCAGATTAATTTCCCGAGATCTCGGGACTCTGCCCTGAGTCCAATTTCTCCAGCCGTTTTTGATCAGCCTGCCAAATTTCAGCCCATTCCGACACCGTCGCGAAAAATGTCAAAATTGCCCCTTGTGCAATTTTTCTTTGTTAATTTCTCGAGATCTCGGGACTCCGCCCCGAGTCCAATTTCTCGGGCCCTTTCCAATCAGCCTGTCAAATTTCGGCCCATTCCGACACCGTCGGGACTAATGACAAAATCACCCCTTGTGCGATTTTTCTTTGTTAATTTCCTGAGATCCTAGGACTCCGCCACGAATCCTATTTCTCGCGCCGTTTCCAATCATCCAACCAAATCTCAGCCCATTCATACACCGACGTGACAAATGACAAAATTGCCCATGGTGCGGCATTTCTTTGTTAATTTCCTGAGATCTCGGGATTCAACCTCTAGCCCAATTTTTCGGGACGTTTCAAATCAGCCAACTAAATTTCAGCCCATTCCGACACCGATGCGACAAATGACAAAATTGCCCCTGGTGCGATTTTTCTTTGATAATTTCCCGAGATCTTGGGACCCCGCCCCGAGCCCAATTTCTCGGGCTGTTTTCAATCAGCTTGCCAAATTTCAGCCCATTCCGACACCGTCGCGACAAATGACAAAATTACCCCTGGTGCGGTTTTCCTTTGTTAATTTCCCGAGATCTCGGAATTCCGCCCCGAGTCCAATTTTCTCGAGCTGTTTCCAATCAGCCTGCCAAAAAATCAGCCAATTCCGATACAGTCGCAACAAATGACAAAATTGCCCCTGGTGCGATTTTTTTTGTTAATTTCCCGAGATCTTGGGTCTTCACCACAGGTCAAATTTCTCGGGCCGTTTCCAATCAGCCTGCCAAATTCCAGCCCATTCCAACATCGTCCCGACAAATAACAAAATTGTCCCTGGTGTGATTTTTTCTTGTTAATTTCCCACGATCTAGGCCAATTTCTCAGGCCGTTTCCAATCAACCGGCCAAATTTCAGCCTATTCCGACACCGTCGCGACAAATGACGAAATTGCCCTTGGTATGGTTTTTCTTTGTTAATTTCCCGAGATCTCGGGACTCATCCACGAGTCCAATTTCTCTGGCCGTTTCAGATCAACCTGCCAAATTTCAGCCCATTCCGACACCGTCATGACAAATGACAAAATTGCCCAGGTGCGATTTTTCTTTGTTAATTTCTCAAGATCTCGGGACTCCGTCCCAAGTCAAATTTCTCGGGCCATTTCCAATCAGCCTGTCAATTTTCAGCCCATTCCGACACCATCGCGACAAATGACAAAATTACCCCTGGTGCGATTTTTCATTGTTAATTTTTCGAGATCTCGGGACTCCGCCCTGAGTCAAATTTCTCGGGCCGTTTCCAATAGGCCTACCAAATTAAAGCCCATTCCGACACCGTCGCTACAAATGACAAAATTGCCCTGGTGCGATTTTTCTTTGTTAATTTCTCGAGATCTCGGGACTCCGCCCCGAGTCCAATTTCTCGGGCAATTTCGACCAGCCTGCCAAATTTCAGCCCATTCCGACACCGTCTCGAAAAATGACAAAATTGCCCCTTGTGCGATTTTTCTTTGTTAATTTCCCGAGATCTCGGGACTCCGCCCCGAGTCCAATTTCTCAAGCCTTTTCCAATCAGCTTGCAAAATTTCAGCCCATTCCGACACCGTCAAGACAAATGGCAAAATTGTGCCTGGTGCGATTTTTCTTTGTTAATTTCCCGAGATTTCGGGACTCCGCCCCGAGTCCAATTTCTCGGGCCGTTCCAATCAGCCTACCAAATTTCGGCCCATTCCGACACCGTTGCGGCTAATGACAAAATTACCGCTTGTGCTGTTTTTCTTCGTTAGTTTCCCAAGATCGCAGGACTCCGCCACGAGTCCAATTTCTCGCGCCGTTTCGAATAAACCTACCAAATTTCAGCCTGTTCCAACACCGACGCGACAAATGAGAAAATTGCCCATAGTGCGGCTTTTCTTTGTTAATTTCCCGAGATCTCGAGATTCCACCTCGAGCCCAATTTTTCGGGCGGTTTCCAATCAACCTACAAAATTTCAGCCCATTCCGATACTGACGCGAAAAATGACAAAATAGCCCCTGGTGCGATTTTTCATTGATAATTTCCTGAGATCTCGGGACTCCGCCCCGAGCCCAATTTCTCGGGCCGTTTTCAATAGACTGACAAATTTCAGTCTATTCCGACACCGTCGTGACAAATGATAAAATTACACCTGGTGCGGTTTTCCTTTTTTAATTTCCCGAGATCTCGGGACCCCGCCCCGAGTCCAATTTCTCGAGCCGTTTCCAATCAGCCTTCCAAATTTTAGCCATTCCGAAACCGTCACGACAAATGACAAAATTGTCCCTGGTGCGATTTTTCTTTGTTAATTTCCCGAGATCTCGAGAGTCCCCCCCGAGTCCAATTTCTCGGACCGTTTCCAATATATATATAAATAGGATAGGAGAAAATGCAAATTTAGATTCTAATTAATTGCAAATTTGATTAGGAAGTGAAATTGTAGTGAATGTGATAATTTGTCGAGAAATTATAGACAAATTTTAAAAAATTAGAAGGGCTAAGGTTTTGATAAAATACATAAGGGAGAGAGTAAGATAGAGCAACAAGAAAGATAAAAGAATTTCAAATTTATTGTGATTTTATCCTTATTTTGTGGAATTTTCAAACTCAAACAAGTTGAATGTTTTCCCGTGTTTGCAAAATCAAAATGGAGACTCATGATTGCTACGGACTTTTCTTTATCGTCTTATCGGTCGTCTTATTCTTATATTTAACCCCACATACACATGCACACCGCAATGCAATCGACGTGACATTGTCCATGGCGAAAAATGTCGATCCTAAAGTCATGAAAATTTGTGATTCAACTGACCACCCTTCTCTCTGTCTTGGCACTGTCGTACCCCTCTTAGATGACAAAACTGATCAATTTTCTGTGCTTGAAGTGTCAGTTAAAGCTTGCTCCGAATTAACAAAGTTCGCATTGTCCATGGCGAAAAAAATTTCCAACATGCCCGGAGTTCCTCCTCAGGTAGCCTCTATTATTCGCGATTGCAAAGACAATTACGACGCAGTTATGTCCAATTTTGAGAAAGCAATTAATGCCTTACCTGAACGTGATATAGGAACTCTTAATACCATGCTCAGCGCCGTTATAACAGATGTCGGAGACTGTGAAGACGAACTCTCCAGTACGGCCACGACTTCTCCTCTATCGGATTATGCCGAGAAGTTGACTAACATGACTAGCAATTCTCTTGCCATTGCTTCCCTCCTTCAAGATTGATCGATGAACAAATCCATTTCATGAAAATTGCATAATGGTGTTTAAATTTGCAATTCTAGGATTTATTTATTTTCATCGTTTAGTTAAAGATGTACAAAATTTTGAGCTGTTCTCATTAGTGTGAGAACATCATCAAGAAGCTTATAGGAAATAAGAAGGAAGTTATACTATTAGAATCTACTGTTCACATTTTCGACCTAAAGGACGCCATTTTTCAGTGAAACCATCTATAATTTTTATTTCTTCTGTAAACGAGTGAGTTGGAAATTGGAATCCCAATGATTTCTTTCGGCATCGTTTTGCATCAGGATAAAAAAGAAAGAAAAAAATTTATTTTATCGTCATTTAGTTCTCTCTCTTTTCTCTCTCGACCCCTTTGACAAGCTACAAAAATTTCTATAGAAAATGTGGAAGTTAGAACTTGGCTTGGGATCAATCTGTGAAGTGCAACAGTATTATTGAGCTATATCCAATATCAATATGGTTGTCAAACAACGTTTTCTCAGCAAGGCATGCTGGATGTGCAGAAAGTTAGTAAGGACTATTGTTTTACTTTTATATAAGCAAGATTTGTCAGTATAAAAAGTAAGTTTGAACGATGAAAAAATGAGTAACTTAAAAGTAGAATCGAGTGATTGCAAGGTTCTTTTGTTATGTGCTCGCTTCTGATTGAGATTATTGCATGGTTGTAGAAGTCATTTGCTATCCTCTCAATGAAACTCTAATGGTTTACAGTCTCAACAGTGATTGTTGGAGAAGAATTTGGGATTTCGAGGGTGGCATCCTACTGAAGGATGGCAAAATTTGAAGTTCGGAAGCTTCAATGGGCATGGATTGTAGTCGGGTTTTTAAACCTGCTATGTGTATAGAGGAGCGGTTCACAAAATACACAACAAATGGGGGAATTTCTTTTTTCTTTTTTTTGGCACTATTTTATTTACATGAGACCTACCCTCATCTGAGTATTCTGTATTGTTTCTGTGAATCCATTTCTATACAAATGAATTTTCTTTTAGGTTTTCCCACACCTCACTTGAAATCAAGACATTAGTATTGACCTATCAATTGATTCATAACCTTCCAAGATTTGAGCACAACTAAAATTTCTTTTTGTTTCCAAAATTGTGTAGAAAAGCGTGTCGATTCGTTACAATTTGGCTTGGACAGGTTCTGAAAAAATGTTTTCTAGCTTTGGTTAATGTTGATGTAGGCAGTAGAAAAGTTATAGGTATATATTTATACTAGAAAAAGGCGATGACAATCGATGTCCATCAAGTTCAAGTTAACTTACATTCAACCTACAACATTTCGACCAGGTCAATGGATACAAACAGGATACATAATTGTGAGAAGCGATTATAAGATCTTTATAGTTTTTGTACTACATGAATACATCGTTTTTCATCCTCTACAATATTTCTCAGTCGAAAAAAGAAAGTTATGCATATATGTGTCCATGTTTTGAAATTAAAATGAAATAAGATACTGAATAACCTAGATTACATAATTTTTCGTTCTCAACGCAATTTGGAGTATGAATATCCCTTCCACTTTTTTACATCTACTGCCTTTATGCATATTCAACTCCTATTTACCGTGGTTCACGACTCATCCATGAAGACAGTTCCATACCCGTTAGCTTTCATAAACTTCTTCAAAAGAAGAACAACTATGGCAACGGTAAGCCCAACAGCTGCAAATGTGAAGAAGCGGTCATCAGCCAGCTTGGAATGTCCGGCTTCTGGCTTATGCACCAGCTGCTGCTCGGTTGAGTACGCTACAGGTGCAGGTTGTGATGTCTGAACAGTATTTCCATTTGAAGATGTTTCATTTGCTTCTTCAACGTTACCATCATCTACTGCCTCAATGATCTAAAGATGCATTTCGAGCACTCTCTTGATTTTCACGCTCATTGTTATCATTTGGAACTTCAGAAGCGTTTGTAGTGTTTTCTTGAGGAATTGCAGGTACCCTGCTTAGCATATATTCGTGAATCTGTACAAAAAATAATAAGTATTGGGCTCGCATATAATGTATAAATTCAGGAAAAGTAGGAGATGACAAACCTCGTCAATAAGCTTTTGGCGTTCAGAAGACCCAAACTTTGGGCTAGCTTCACGAGATTTAATTGCTAGAGACCGCCTTACTTCCTTTGGATAGTCCAATGATCCCAGTGCACCGTTTGGGTTGGTGGGCAGAAATGCAATTAGAGCTACCAAAGCAGTCCGGACTGCCAAAACCATCCATATTGACTGGTATCATAAATTTTTGTTTATCACATAGAAAATAAAAATAGGTGTACTCACGGAGCAATTATTGGTTAATAGCAAAGATGATGGCAAAGAACATGCTCCATTCTAGTACTTGATTTTAAAGCAGCCCATGTCTTAATTTCTCTCCCTCTCTTATTCTTGTAGAATAACTTAAAAACCTATCCATTCTCTCTTGAGATCAAGTAACTTTGATGTTATAGTTTTAAGTATGTAAAAACTGCAAAATAGTACCCAATACTGTGAGAATCAACAGTCTCTAACACATTGCTTGAAAAATTTTACGTACTCGTGAAAGGACTCTAAATAGATGACCTCTTCGAGAGTGTTGTATATGCAAAAAGGCATAATAAGTGCAACATACTCTCATTGGATATTTTACGCTCATTTATATTACAATTCTCTCAACATTTAGCCTCAGTTTGTTTTAGCTAAAATTTATATTTATAGTAGATTTTGATAAAAGTAATGAAATGTGTGGTTTGAAAAGTTGACAAAAATTGTAAGTCCTATAAAAATGCATGGTTGAAAATGAGTTTGAGAAAGTGGGGACCAAACATGGGCTTAGTATAGTTGCTTGTAGGAGTTATGAAGATGCCGCAAATGCATATGGAATATCATACAAAAGACATAAAGATGATTTAAATACATCTCGTAATAAGATAAAACAGATAACTTTATCTAGTAATGGGCTAGAATCACTGGAAACATGAAAATAGCTTGAGAAGAAAAGTAACCACTCCAAGATGGTTGCCAGTGCTCAGGATGATGACTTGAAATGCTCAAGCATATCTTGGTTTGAGTTTCAAATCGACCATTTGGCTGTAAAGGGGAAATCCAAATTACATTAGCAAATTTCTGTCAATATCAATTCAAATTTCATAGTAACTCTTAGAAGGAGTAAACTATAATCTTTTACTACACATCCTTGTTGAAATTCCAAGAACTCAAACAGTGAGCTACTTGAGAAATGGAGCATTACCGTCAACAGCACAAATGAAGGAGGCTTGAAAGGATATTCAGCAGGCAACTGGATCCTTCCATGATATATTCCTCCCTCAAACTCCGAATCTTGGGGTCCCCTAATTGCAAATTGCCATTCAAATATGTTTTCCTGAAAACAAAATTTTGGGGCCTGAGTTCAGATTGTTGTAGCATAATTCACAAAAAATATAAAAAATAAAAATAAAGAAGCCAATTGAGAGTAAAATTACTTGCTTCAACATGACAAAAACAGCACAGCATTTCATTTTATAATTTAGACACAAGGCTGCACCTTGTTCACCAGTAAAATCAAACAGAAAGGAATGAATCTTCTACATGGTTTTAAGTTTCCAAACTTAAAAATTTTCACACAAGTTAAGAGAAAAGATTAAATAACTTGAGCTATCACATATGTTAATAAGTAAAAACCATACACAATACTCAAACCAAAAGAATTTCAACATTAGATAATTCCATTCGCTTACTCGTCATCCCAAAATACAAAATAAATTTCACTATTTCAGATAAGAAATTAAAAAAGAACACATCCCATATTCACATTTATGGTGAATACGATCAATAAGAACACTGGAAAAATAATAGATGAAAATAAATGTTTCCAACGTCATTTTAGGGATTCCACTACATCTCAAAAATAAAATTCATCGTTCATATCCATCAAGAAACCCTCTAAAAAAAAATTCAGAGATATTTTCCATCACAAAAATTAGCTGAACATGATCATGAATAAAACAAATAAAGAAGGCAGTTTAGAAAATGGAATTAAAATTATTTTTTAAATAAACCGCCTCAAATAAATCAGAAATATTTTCCATTACAGAAATTTAGCTGAATACAATTATATATAAACCAATTAAAGAGGCAGATTAGGTATGAAATGGAAATTATTTTTTAATATAAAACCCCTAATAAAATCATAAATATCTTCGACAGCAGACAATTAACTGAATTCCATTCAAAACAATTCAATTAAAAAGGCATTTAAGGAAATGTAATTGAAGTCAGCTTTAGGAAACGGAATTGAAATTGTTTTTAAATAAAAAAAAAAATCAATTACGTGAGCGGTTTAGGTAACTGAATTAAAATTTATTCTAAAAATAAACCTCGAGAGGTAGGCTCATAAAATCATCGGAAGGATTGGAATGCATCTCTTTGACCTCCTGCAAAATCCTCTTCACCGCTGGATTTTTCAGATTGTACTTATCCTCCGCCATTATTTTTAGATCCAAGAATAAAATGAATTTTTTGATCAATAGAAAACAAACTATTATAGAGAGAGGGAGCGAGACTTTTGGTGAGATATTTTTTATACGTTCAAATTACAATGGAGGTCACCAAATTTTGAGTGAAATTTCATTTTAGTTCTTCATGCTTTTACTGAGTTAATTATTCCAATGATCACTGAACTTTGGTCCATATCTTTGATTGGTTATTAAATTTTAAAATATCGAGTTTTAATCACTAAATTTAAGTAATGTCTTCAATTGCTTATTAAACTTATATCTATATCTTAGATTTCTCATTGAAATTTAAAAGGTCGAGTTTTGGCTGCTAAACGTTAGAATATACCGTACGTTATTCATTAGCGTAACTGTTAAACTTTGAAAAATATCAAATTTGCAGTGAGTAATGTATAATATTTTTCAAAGTTCAGTGAGTAATGTACAATATTTTTCAAAATTCAATTACCAAAACTCGACATTTGAAACTTTAGTGAGTAATCGA